CAGACCGAGTTTCGCCGGAATCGGACTTTCTCCGCCGAGTTCCACCGAGTTTCCTTTGAAACTCGGACTCAAATCGAAGAAAAAATGCGGAAAATAAAGAATCGAGTCGAGAAACATACCTGACTCGCCTGGTCGAGAACCTGTCTTCACCGAGTTTCGATCTCAGACCCTCCACCTCGACGGATCTGGCCACCGGCGACTCCGAGACTCTCAGATCTGCTCCCACCGTCGCCGATTTGCCTCTGTCTTTGACTGAAACACTTAAACAGGCCGTCAAAACGCTCCGACAGACAGATCCGAACCGAAACCCTAACTTACCTCGCCTTTTCCGGCGAACTTACCTCCCTGGATCGAAACCGGAGCTCTGATACCACTTTGTGAAGGTGGTATCGAGTCCTCACCGTTCTCTCCGACTCACGTCCGTGCAAGAAAACGAAAGACACCGGAGACTTTTAACGAGTTCGGTTACCGAGCAAGCTCGGGCCTACATCTCGGCCGGACGGTGCCGGCGAATCCACTAGAGACGGAAGAACAACACCGGAGAACAGAAGCTCGGCGGATCTCCACAATCCGGAGCCTCACCGAGAAGAACCGAGAACAAAAGAGAAGGGGAAACAGCCAAGGGATGCAAACCTGTACCGGGATCTTACCGATCTACCACCGAGCTTCCTTGACGGACCGCCGAAACGTCCTCCGCCATGTGCTCACCGCGATCTCCTCTCTCCCTCTCATTTTTGCCTCTTTTTCTTCTCTGCTGAAAGTGACGAAGTCACTAGCTTTGGGTAAAAACCCTAATCTTCCAAAACGTAGCGTTTTGGTATTAAAACCAAAACCTCCTTCCCATGTGGAAGGTTCTCTTTTTCCACCAATGGGCCCTTAAGGCCCAACAGCATATAATATAAATATGTCCATTAACTATAAATATATAAAAAAACAAAAACATTCATTAACTTTAATTATATGATAGATAATTTTTTTACTATTATCAGATTACTATAATTTAATAAGATTAAAGTTTATCTTTATTGCATTAAAAAATCTATGTTAACAGTTATGGTTTTTATTTTATTATATTTATATTTAAAAATTATCTATTATCTTGACGATTCTAACTTAATAAAAAATAAAAAAAACATATATAAAAATAAAAATATTTTGGTAATTGAATATCAATAGAATATTGTAAACATATCATGATCACTAGAATGTCTTGGTCCAATACCGTCTGTTCTTATTCTCATCTCAATACCGTCTGTTAAAAAAAGTAATGATATTTATTACATAAAAAAGAAACGGCCGGATTGTGTAAATTGGAGTAAATGCAGAATTAATAATATTTAGTAGGATAAAAATGAAAATTAAAACAAACACACGTTATTGTCACTAGAACGTCGTATTTCATATTTATATACGGCATTTTGGTTGCATGTTTTAGTCAACTAGACCGAAGGTCGTATTTCATAATGCAGATAATGAGCAACGGTTGGAAC